CGATCCCAGGGTCCTGGGATAGAGCCCCGCGTCGGGCTCCCTGCTCGGCGGGGAGTCTGCTGCTCCCTCTGCCTCTGCCCCTCCCCCCCCACTCATGCTCTCTCTCTCTCTCTTGCTCCTGCTCTCTCTCACTCTCACTCATTCACTCTCTCTCTCAAATAAATAAAATCTTTCAAAATAAAGAGCGTTCTGAGGAGCCTCATCTGTTGGCTTTGCTTATGGCACCTGCCAGGGCTGTCACATGGTCACCCCATATGCAAGAAAGACTGGGGAAGGTTGTTTTCCTCGCCTGGTTTGCTGGCACCCATGCTGAAACTGAATTACATCAGCAAGGCAGAAGCGGAGAATGGATAGTAGGAAGGCTGCCAGAAGCATGGCCAGCTTTGCAGGAGCCCAAAACACATGTTTAACCTCTCCAGTATTCAGCCCATGTGAGTCACATCTAAAATTGTAACAACGGTGAAATGAGTTCCAGGCTGCCCTGATTTACAAATGCTCAGTGCATGAGGAACCCATATAGGACTTGCAAACTGGTGCGTAGCCCACCCACTGCTCCAGTTACCCCTGTGCCCTTGGCCGCTGGTCCAGATTGTTACCTCCCAATAGCCATCTTTCCCTTTTTCTGTAAGTAACAGAAGCTCCCATTTTTAGCTGGGCTCATGTCTGCCTGGATTAAAGGCATTTCCCATCATTTCCCATCATTTTTTGCAGCTAGATACGATTATGTCCATAAGTCTGGCCAGTGGAATCTAAGCAAGTGTCATGTGTAGTTTTTGGGAAATGTCCTTATATGGAGAGAATGTGCACTTCTGTGTCCACTTCTCCATCTGAAATGTGGACAAAATGGCTGGAGCTCAGGGCGCCTGGGTGGCTCAGTCGTTAAGCGTCTGCCTTCGGCTCAGGTCATGATCCCAGGGTCCTGGGATCGAGTCCCACATCGGGTTCCCTCCTCGGCGGGAAGCCTGTTCTCCCTCTCCCACTCCCGGGGCTTGTGTTCCTGCTCTCGCTATCTCTGTCTCTGTCAAATAAATAAATAAAATCTTTAAAAAAAAAAAAAAAAAGGCTGGAGCTCAGAAGCCATTTTGGGCCATGAGGTGGAACTCACACAGAGGATGGCAGCATAATGACATATTAGGAGCTTGGATTCCTTATGATCTTGGAGCTTCTGTAGCAGCCCTGGACTGCTTACCCATGAACTTCATTTACATGAAAGGGAAATGAACTTCTATATCGTTTTAACCTCCGTTAATGGGTTTCTGTCACTTGCAGCTAAACCTAATCCTCGTATTCCATTTCCTTGAACCTTCCCACTGTGCATAAGAAGGTTTTCTCATCTCATCTGTGGTGGTCCATCTAGTTTCTGTCCTCTGGGCAGTGGCCTTCTTCATCATTCTCGGCTCCCTAAGCATGTGTTTGAGTCCCTGCCAGTGACCTGTAAGTGCACTCTCTCAACCCCCCTCTGTACTTCTCCTTCACTGCCCCTCTCTGGTTGCGTCCTAGAAGACTGAACTAGGGCCCAGCAGAGGAAGAGGCTGCACAAAGAATTAATTCAGGAGCACCGACTCATGGGGGCATACTCGCTGAAAAGTCATGTCTGACCAAACACAGGATCCCTCCTTGCTCTTCCCTACCTCCTCGCTTCACTTTGTGCCACAAATGTCTTCCATTAGAGCCATTTGCGTTTAAAAGACACATTAGAAATACAAGTAGCCCTGGAGAATGGACTATTTTCCATTTGCAGTTTACTGCAAATTAGTTTAATCCAATTTCTTTTTTAATTCATTCTTCCATTAAACATTCATGAAGAGCCTATTTTATATCCTTTTTAAAAAAGATTTATTTATTTTGAGAGAGAGAGCATGCGTGTGCCATCCAGGGGAGAGGCAGAGGGAAAGGGAGAGAGGATCTCAAGCAGACTACATGCTGATGAGGGAGGGGAAATAGGGTCTCAATCCCACCACCCTGAGATCATGACCCGAGCTGCAATCAGGAGTCAGAAGCTTAACGTGCAGAGACACCCAGGTGCCCAAGACTTATCCTAAGAGATGGATAATTTATTATTTGTGCTGGAGATCAGAAGTCTCACACGGTTCTCACTGAACTAAAATCAAGGTGTCAACAGAGCTGGGTTCCTTTGTGGAGATTTGGGGAGAATAATTTCCATACCTATTCTGCTTCTAGAGGCTATGGGAATTCTTTGGCTCCTCTCCCCTTCCTCCATCTTTAAAGCCAACAACGGGGTGGGGGTCGGGGACACTCCCCATTGCATGTTTCTGACCACAGGGGAAAAAGTTTTCTGGGCTTTATGTTCGCAGTCTCAGGCGATTAGATCACTGCCCTCAGCCCCCTTCCACGTATAATCAAAGGTAACAGCCCCACTTCAAGGTGTGTAACTTCAATCACATCTGCAAAGTCACTTTTGCCATGTAAGGCAACACAGTTACCGGTCCCAGGACTAGACCAAGGATTTCCTTGGGGGCCTTTATTCTGCCCCCAAATCCTTAAATTTACAAGCCCCAAAGCCACTGCCTACGGCCAAATTTCTTAAAATCCTTTTTCCTCCCCCACCCACTTCCAAAGCTGCAACCGCTTTTGCACGTCCCTCCTCAATACTCCCCCCGCAAAACTCCGTCACAGGCCCAGCCCTGAGCTGCCTCCTTTATCCCGGCGCTCCCTGCCTCCCGGGCCTGGGAAGGGGGGTGGGGACGCCGGGGCAGGAGAGCTGTCAGCGGGCGGGAGACCCCCGCGGGGTGGGGCGCAGCTACCTGGGGCGACCTCTGCCCCGCGTCCCCCCTGCCCCACTGATGGCCACGCACGCGGGTCCCCCACTTCTGTCTCCTCCTAGACCTCGTCCCTCGCAGCGCCACTGGCTGTGACGACCTCGGCCCGCGGCGGGGACACCAGGAGCTCTCCGTGTCCGAGGCCGAGCCCACCCTCCGGAACCCTGGAGGCGCGCTCCTGCCGCCACCTCTCCTCCTCCTCCTCCTTCTCCCGCCTCCGCCTCTCCCCCCGCCCCGCTCCGCCTCCTCGCGGGCCGCCCTCTCCAGCCCCCGCCCCCCGCCGCGCCCCGGGCCGCCGGTCGCCAAGGAGCAGGGCGCACGCGGGAGGCCGGCCGGCGAGGGACGCGGGGACCCGGCGCCCGAGTGAGTGCGCGGCGCGGGCCGGCGACGAGGTTGCGGGGTGGGTGGCCAGCGTTCTCTCCGGGAGGTACGGCGTTGTTGCGTGCGGCGGCGGTCCCGGAGGAGGGAGCGAAAAGCAGCCCCTCCTTGCCCATCCTGTCCCTCTCCCCCGGGACTCCGAGAAGGCAGGGCCCTCCTACCCCTTCTCTCTGCCCCGCCGTCCTCACCTCAGCGTCCCCAGCTCTCGGAGAGTCACAGTTAGCAGAGGGTGGGGCACCCGCTCCTTAGGCCTCCACGAAATAATCATCAATGAACGAGCCAGGCAATGCTGGCCTTGAGCGCCTAGGTAGCTGCTCGCCCGGGCCACACATTACTGTATATGGAAATGACAAAGAAATGCTCATGATAAAATATTAAGTGAAAAGCTCAAGATTGAAGAGGGTCTTAAGAGAGTATTTATAGAACGTTATGCGTGTAGTTTGTGCTCCTGTAAATACCCGGAAAAGGCTGGTGAGAAATACCAGTAATATTACATAGTACCAATCTTAGCTTGGACTGCCTTAACAAAATACCATAGACTGGTGACCTAAACAACAGAGATCCATTTCTTACACTTCTGGAGACTGGGAAATCCAAGAGCAAGGTGACAGTAAGCTAGGTTTGGAGTGTTTCCTCTTGGCTTGGAGGTAGCAGCCATTCTCAAGAGACAAAATAAGCTCTCTGGTGTCTCTTCTTTTTTTTTAAAGATTTTATTTACTTATTTATTTATTTAGAGAAAGTGTGCGAGTAAGGGTAGGGGCAGAGAGAGAGAATGTCAAGCGGACTCCAAGCTGAGCGTGGAGCCCGATTTGGGGCTCAGTCTCATGACCCTGAGATCATGATTTGAGATCATGATCCGAGGTCATGACCTGAGGTGAAATCAAGAGTTGGTCACCCAACCCACTGAGCCACCCAGGAGCCCCACTCTGTGTCTCTTCTTATAAGGGCACTGATCGCATGGTGGGAGACCTGCCTTCATGACCTCATCTAACCCTGATCACCTCCCAAAGGCCCCATGTACAAATACTGTCACACTGGGGGTTGGGCTTCAACAAAAGAATGTGGGGGGAGGGGGAGACGAAAACATAGAGTCTGTAGCAGTACCTTCTAGGTGGTACTTTAGAGTGGTTAAGAATTTGGGCTGTAGAGCCAGGCTGCCTGAATTTGAATCCCAGCTGCACCTGTTACCAGTGTTTGCCCTTAGGCAAATCACTTCCCTCACTAGGCCTCAGCTTCCCCACCTGAGCATTCATTCTGTTCCAGGCTCTGTTCCAAGTATCCATCAGGTACTAATTCATCATTCCTCATAACAATTATTTATCATCATCATCATCCATCATCATCCCCATGTTACTGAGGAAAATACTTTACATTTAATTTGCATTCAATTCTCACAAATACCAAAGAGGTTATAGTCCCACCATTTTTTTTTTTGCCCATAATCAAAACTTTATTGAAAAACTGACACCAAAATAGGACATCACTGTTGTAAACCTTACAAAATTAA